GGAATTTGCTTTCATTTTGATGTATATTATTAACTGACAAGTACGCAGCTTGGTTTTGAATTTTTGTCTATCGGGCATGGTTTGGTGTTGGTGTTTCTCTCGATCTTTTGTAATCTCATGAAAAGCTCCGGTTTCTTCTGGTTTCATACGTTACATGTTCGTTGCCAAAAGTAACTGTACTATAATTAACCTAATACTAACAGTTGCTCAATGTTATACATGTGTATACCTGAGTTTAACCTGGAATCCTCTATTTGAAGGGTGATAGGTATCTAGGGTAAAAAAAGAAGAAAAGAAAAATAGCATATACTCCGGATCCCATCATCACCTCATGATACAACAATTTCATCATGTCGTTCTCCCATAAGGAACTTCAGGCAGGCCTCACAGGATACCCGACCGCAATATGGACACCAAAAAGCTACCCGCTGAGTCCCCATCGAGCATCGACCACATCTCATCGGCTTCTGAATCATCTCCCATTCGCCTCCATACATACATCCGTTCTGCTTGGGTATATCTCGTTTCCTTGGGGCTTCTCGCTTGTATCTCCGTCTGGCCTCCCTGATCTCCTCTTCATGTCTTCGGCTTTCTTCTTCCTCGGCCTCTTCTCTTCTTCGCCAAAGCCTCATCACCTCCGTTGCCTCCTGATCGTCTGTCCCCCACCGGGCTGCTTCCATATCATGTTCCTGTCGAGCATGCTCTTCTTCAGCCTTTCTCTTCGCTTTCTCTTCTTCTTCTCGCTCCTTTCTTATCTCTCTCTTCACTCTTATAATTTCACTCTCCGTAAGCTGGTATGAGGCTTCACACCTTCGTACGTTTTCCTCCTGTTTCTCAAGAAAGCTGTGTTTAAGTCTGAGGGCAGCCATCCTGTCAAGCCGTGTACGCTGAGCTTGTTCCTTTCGTTCTTCAAGCTCTTGAATTTTTCTCATGGAAAGGCGATGTGTCTTTATTTTTCCTATAGAAGCTATGTTTTCCGTTGCCCGATCCATTTCTTTAGATAGTCGTGCCACTTCATCCTGCAGTCCGCCGAGTACTCTCCTCGCTTCAAGAAAATCATCCTTTTGACTTGCTCTTTTGGCTCTTAGTTGCTGCAGTGTTGCCTTGAAGTCTTCCGTGTGTTTTTTGGCAGTAGGGTCATGGCTAACTGGGCGTCTCTTTGGGACGGTCTTTAGGTCTATTTTTATTTTTGTTCTTGAGTCTTGCTTTATGTCAGGCTTTGGCTCTGGTTTTAGATCTGGTTTTGGATCCGGCTTTCGATCCGGCTTTGACTCGGGATTCGCATTTGGCCTATGACTTGGCTTCTCCTCTGTTTTATGATCTGGCTTCGATGTTGGCCTTGACTCCGCTGCTGGAGCAGACTTGGGATCTGAATTACCATTTGTCCTTGGGTCTGCTGTCGGGACTGTATTCTGCTCTGCCTTTGGAGCAGAAGTTTCAGTCTGTCCGGCAGACCGCTTAATAGATGGGTATCTCAAGTCATACGCCCGGCGGGCATCAGCATCAAACAAATTCGAGTATGCTTCTTGAATCTAAATAACCGGCCAGCAGGTTAGATGGTTGCTCGATTCGTGAATAGCCGGAATAGGTGTGACGGACCAGCTGGAATTCAGATGTCGCATCCGGATTAGTTGGATTCTTATCCGGATGTTTGATTCTTGCAAGGCGCCTATAGCTGGCTCTAATCGACGCAGCGTCTGCCGTCTGCTCGACCTCGAGAATCGCATAGTAGTCATGGGTTGTTCGAACTGGGGCCATTCCAGCTTTCGGCCTGCGAGATGGATTGTGGCTGGGGGTCTGTGTTTATCGGGTTTACGCCTCCGTCCGTCATTCACCGGCTGCTGCTGGAGGATGCTGGCCGGTCAGTTATTACTTCATACTCTGCCTAGCACAGGAGCTTCTCAATTTTCAACTGAAATTTTCAGCGTCTCCACGGCCGCTTGTGGGCTTTAACGCCATCCTATGAAGAATTCTCATCTTGCCGGGCTGGAAATAGGGCCGATTTTTGATGGCTTCTTCAGGTTGCTGCAGCGACTGGGGTTGCGGTGATTGGCGGTGGGATTCATGCATCTAAGATCAGCCTCCAATCAGCAGGGGTATATAAGAAAAGTCGGAGAAGATTTTTGCATTGTTAGGCAGCGAGACGCTCCATATGTGCCCATAGTAATGCTGGGGAGCTCGCAGTCAGGCCTCGTTTGTCCATGGCTGTCTCTTCTGTCGTTAATTAACTATTACTGACGGTTAACTGGGATCTCCGCCTCTCTGCTAGAGGTAGTTAAAGGTCGCCAACGGGTATGAATACATTTGGCCCTCAGCATAGCCTTGTACTCCCACACCAGAAGCAACGCGGGACGTTTGCTTCAAGTGCTGCGGTTCATGGGATCACTACTGTCCCGCATGCATGTACAACGCCCGGAAGTTGCCCTTCTACCTCGTGTCCGGCCGACCCGAGGCGCCTGTGTCTCGCCAACCGGAGCCTTTGCCTCGCGCCTGTCAAGATATCGAAAGCAGTGGCACTGGCATTGACAGAGACCAGCAAGGATACCCATAGCTCGCTAAGCCGTCTCATTGTTCTTTGATATGAACTTTTTATCCGCCTGATAGTTATGGGCGAGGCAAGTGATTGTTGCTCTGATCGACCTGCCATTGGTTGCGGGTTACCGGCTCAGGGCGTATATTTTAATCAAGCCTGGGGGTATACCTCTTGTATACTCTTATTTACCCATAACAGTTCATTATGCCCTTGAGTCAAGGTCACAAGGCCGCCAGATACCCAGTGAAGTCGTAGTTTGTGCACCGATCTCTATTAGGGGAAGATCCGATTTGATATCATACGCCTTCGGAGCAGTGGAAGCAGCTCGGCTCGTTATATTGCCCCCTGTTTACTCCCCTTATTCCTGGAGCTATATACCTCTGGAAGATCTCATACAAATACAAATACCACCCTCAAGACGAGATGTTACGAACCACCTTCACTGCTCCATGGCGCACAGCAATTCATTACTCTACATTGATCAAGAGCCATTGCTCCAAGTTCTTCCTGCAGAACCGGCAATCGAACCATGTATTCCTCTTCAGCTTACATATTTACCCAGTCTGGAGCAACCTTTATACGTTGTTCGTGAACAGCCATCAGAGCAAGCTATCCAGTACCAAGGGATTATACCAATTTACACCGGACAGTGTCCTATTTGCCAGGCACTCCACGACAGAAGCTACACCTACCAGTATCTTATACCAGTCGAGGTTGACGTTAGAAATGGTAAGAGTCTATCGAATTAAGAGGAAACGGACTTTGAAGCTTTAATAACAGAACTTGGCTATAGAGTTTATCCCCGTTTACTGTGGGAAACATATCCAATTGACAACTGGCGAAGGAATTGCTTTGTCATATCCTCCCGTTCACAACAATATCACATTTGTTCAATCAACGGTGAACTACCCTAATCATGTAATGTTGAATAGAAATGAGGCGTGTCATCAGTCTCGTCCGTTTACCCCAAAGATAAACCAGAGGGGACATAGGAGACGAACGAGGGTACATCACCAACCAAAACAGCTTCACAAACTAGAAACGGACGGAGCAGAATCTAGAATCTGCAAAGCACCCGATTTTGCAGTGAAAAACCGTCACAAGTCAACTAAAAGCCCCTCATCAATACCTTTCTCGCGGGCCCCAACATTGGCAGAGAGCCCAGCACCGATACACACTGACAAGGCGAATGTCATACCACCTCAGGCACACTCCAATTCAACGAAACATTCTACTAAAGAAGCCCTGAGGTCCTACGATACAGATGAGAAACGAACGTCTGTACGGCAAGGGGGGTATAAAAGCGCAGGAGCAGAATCGATACTCTCCTGTTCTACAGATAGCACAAAACTTGGGATTATACCACCACATAAACTCGCAGTCCCTCGAAATCCACACACACCATCTGAAACTAGGCCTAGGGTAACGGGTCGAAGTTATGATACTACTAAAAAGGGCGGGAAGATGGGATGGTTGAGATTCTGGAGGAGCTGATCTATGAAGTTGGCCCACGTTACCAACGAATAATAGTAATACATAGCCCCTGGTGCTCCGGATTGGTTAAGCCTGCCAACACGGCATGGATGTTTACAGATACACGACTACATAGAAAGCTCATAAGTTTAAAATCATAATTGCATTCAATGTTAATGTAAACTCAGAAGCTTGAGGTCTAATTTATATCTTGAGTTTCTCCAGCTCGCGAATTTGTTCTTCAAGGCGAGCAGCCTCACCCTGAGCATCCACCAGCTTCTTCTCTTCAAGTTCTCTAACCTCAGGCTTGGCCTTTTCTTTCCACTGAGGGGCAGTGATGATAGCTTGCTGCTTCTTGATGGTTTCCTGTAGCTTCAAGAGACTAGCCTTGGCTTTTTCTTCCTGCTCTAGCCTGACCTCATCCGACACCTGGAGATACACAGCTGCTTGGGCACCGACGGGCGAAACAACACAGCCTGGTGGAGGGGTTCGGTTGTCGGCATCAAGCACAGTCAGCTCGCCGATGTTTTTGCCACTCAAGGATTTGATGCTGATGGCTTCTTCGGAAATGGACTTGTGGCTAGTAGCGTCGTATGCCTGGATGAGAATGTCTCCCTTTGTCTTCACGTCGTATTCAGCGAGGATACTTCGGATAGCCTTGGAGGTGCTGAGGATCAGCTCATAGGCGGTCTCGGCGGCAGGGTCATCGAACGAAGCGTTGTACTCTGGGTAGGCAGCCTTCATGATAGAAATGGTTTTGTCTCCAGGACGTCTCGGGAGACGCTGCCATAGCTCTTCGGTCACGAAAGGCATGACTGGGTGGATGAGAGTCAAAGCACCCTCCAGCGCGGTATAGAGGGTCTCCTTGGCAGATTGCTGAACGGCTGGGTCTGTGTCGGGCTGCAACAGCGACTTGGAGTTTTCGATGAATACATCACACAGTTGACTGTACCAGTACTGGTAGATTGTGTTGGCGGCAACGGAGAACTCGCGGTTTTCCAGGGCTTCGTTAGTGACCTTTGCTGCCTGGTTGAACTTGTGCAAGATCCATCGTTCGGAGAGGGACTCCTTTCCAGTCTTGGTGGGAGTGGCCTGGGGTTGGAAGTCATCCCCTAGTTTACCAAGGACGAACTTGGTGGCCTGGTAGATCTTGTTGCAGAACCTTCTGTAACCGTGAATCACCTGAATGTCGAAGTTGATATCACCGCCTTGAGAGAAACAAGAGCGTTAGTGGGCTACCTCATATACAAGCATCTATCGGAAAGGAGAAAAGAGATTTGTTTAACTTACCACCAGTGCTGTATGCGAGCAGCGAGAATCGAAGGGCATCAGCACCGCACTCTGGGATACCCTTAGGGAAAGCTTTCTTCTGGAATTTGGTTGCGATGGCGACTTCCTTCTCCGCAAGATTGCCTTCTAGCAGCTTATCATGCAGCTTTTGAAGAGAAATACCGTTCATGACATCGATGGGGTCGACGACATTACCTAGTGACTTGGACATCTTGCGACCTTCAGAATCTCGGATGAGAGAGTGGCAGTACACCTCCTTGAATGGAACCTGTCCGGTCATCTTGATTCCGAGCATAATCATTCGAGCGACCCAGAAGAAGAGAATGTCCCATCCGGTTTCCAAGATAGATACGGGGTAAAGATTCTCAAGGTCATGCGTCTTCTTTGGCCATCCAAGAGTAGAATACGGCCATTGACCAGAAGAGAACCATGTATCTAGGACATCAGGGTCCCTTTTCAGAACAAATTTCTTCCCAGGGAATTTCTTCTCTGCTTTAGCTTTAGCTTCCTCCTCCGTACGACCAGTTACCCAGAGGTTACCATCAGCATCATCGCCTTTCTCGCCTTCAATATCAACGAAGTAGGCGGGTGCTTGGTGACCCCACCAGAGCTGTCTTGACAAACACCAATCGTTGATGTTGTTCATCCACCGATAGTAGCTCTTCTCGGCACTCTCGGGGCGGATGATGATCTCTCCGCTTTCAACGGCCTTGATGGCAGGCTTAACAAGCTCAGTCATGTTCATCCACCACTGTGGTTTCATGATGGGCTCGATGACATCGCCAGACTTGGCACACTGTGGTACTTTCATGGGGTTGTTCTCCCATTTCACATAAAGACCCTTCTCCTTTAGTTTCTCGATGACCTGGTAGCGGGCGTCGAAACGTTTCACTCCAGCGAAGGGGCCGGCGTTTTCGTTAAAAGTACCATCATCATTCATGATGGAAATGAACTCAAGATTATTCTCCTTTCCACGAATGTAATCGTTGAAGTCGTGTGCTGGTGTGATTTTGACAGCACCAGTACCGAATTCGGGATCGACCTTCTCGTCTGCAAAGATTGGTAGCAATCGGTCCACGAAGGGATGCTTAACTTTCATTCCAATAAACTTCTGGTATCGCTTGTCGTCAGGGTGGACAGCTACACCGGTATCACCAAGCATTGTTTCAGGTCGAGTAGTTGCAACCTGGATCTTTTCATCCGTGCCATCGATCTCATACAGGAAGTGAGTTAAAACACCGAATTCAACTTTTCTGGAATACCCAGGGACATCCAGCAAAGTGCGACCTTCGAGGTCACGATTTTCGACCTCAAGGTTTGATAGGGAAGTGTTCAAGGCAACACACCAGTTCACAAGACGATTTCCACGATAGATAGTGCCCTCTTCGTGGAGGCGGACGAAGGTCTCGGTGACAGCCGCAGACAGGTTCTCATCCATAGTGAAGGCTTCCCTGGACCAGTCGAAAGAACCACCCAACCTTCGGAGGGAGGCAGTAATGCTGTCGTGGTACTTGTGAGTCCACTCCCAGATCTTGCCCACCATGGCTTCCCGCCCAATATCGTGTCTGGATTTCTTCTCCGTCTTCCATAGGATCTTCTCAACAACGCTCTGAGTGGAGATACCGGCATGGTCGTATCCCGGGAGGTACAACACGGTTTTTCCCTTCATTCGCTGCCAGCGGATCATGGTGTCCTGGAGCGCCTTTGTCAAGGCATGACCCATGTGGAGAGCTCCGGTCACATTTGGCGGTGGAATCGGAATGACGAAGTATCCAGCCTCTTTCACCTTTCCATCTGGGCCAAACTCCGGCTTGAACAGGTCGCGCTCCTCCCACCACTCGTATCTACCAGCCTCGATAACCTTGGGGTCATAGGCGTCGGTGGTTTTGTCTTTCTCTATCTTTGGCTTCTTCTCCGTAGGTTTCGCGGGGGCAGGTGCTGCAGAGGCCTTCTTCGCAGCCTTTTCGGCAAATTTCTTCAGCTTCTCAGCCTTCTTCCGTTCCTTTTCAACTATACCGAAGCGTTTGAGTCAGAGACTGCATCCGAAGTATACACTACAAGCCACCGCATAAGAAACATGCCACATACGTTCTCTTTCCGATTTTTCCTTTCCACCTTGCGTTCCTGAGCTGTTGTTAGCAGCATCTTGGGCCGGACTGGCTACCCCGCCAGTCGTCGAGTCAGCCGGGGTATCTAAACAGCGAAGACAGGCAAACGTTAGACTCTCGGCCTTTCCCACAGCATCGTATGGACAATTTATGGGTACACATACCAGGAGACTGCGCCGTAGCAAGTGAAGCCATGTTTGCAAATCGAGGTCGAATGTAAATTCCCCTCCGCGCCGAGCGCGCAGCAAGATGTCGGAGTATCGTGGTTTACGGTTTTGCCCGTAACTGTGGAAAAAAAGAAAGAGAGTTTTATGCGTGGGGTAATTAGGCGAGTTAAGGGTCTGTCTGGCCCAGCAAACAGCGCTTTGGTGAGGGGGGATATCGGTCAGGGTCGCAATTGATCCCGGTTTCTCATCTGCTTCTGCTTCTGCTTCTCGAATCTTTTCAATATAGCTTTTTGGTGACTCAAAATTTCCCTGCGACGAGCCTTGGCCGTGTCGTCCAAGCTGACTAAGTTATTATCTAATTAAATTTCAGCCTTACTCATCCGATTCTAATTTTAGGTCCACGGGTATAGTATGGTCATGTGAGAATGCTTGGCTTCATGTGGAACTTTATATCGACGTTGAACTGCATCCAGGAGATAATCAGTGATAACTAACTACTCGGCGATTGATGGTTATTTTTGCGCCAGGAGCCTGGATTTTGATCCGAGGGAGAGCCCCATGGTAATAAGGGTGGTCTCCGGTATTCTTCATACCACAAATGGTCTTCCTCCAACAGGTCATACTTCTCAACGTATTGGTAAACTTCGAGATACATCCACCCAACATCTTCCTCTTCGCCGCCTGTTTCACCATCCTCAAAATCAGGGTGTATAGTGTAATTTCTGTCTTCAGGGTCTCGCGCACCAAAGTGTTTTGCTAGTAACTTTACGACCGGTATGTCCATGTGCTCGACAGACTCCAGGCAAATGTCATCGACAAAAAGGCAAAAATTATATCGAGTACCGAAAACATGTTCTAGCCCCATACTATGAGGATCATTCACGAGCGTCACCTGCAGCCGAGACTCGGTCGGTGTATTAACCATGATATCCGGTAAAGCATTAAACACCCAAGACGTAAAATGGTCACGGATATCGTGAGACGTGGCGCCATCATATTTTGCTTTGTCGTCCATAATAATCATCTCATGCCGAGGCAGTAGGTCCTCCTGCCCTTGATCTTCTAAACACTCGGCCATCTCATCACGTATTCTCTGAAGAATTGTCTGCCAGGCATCCTCATTGTTATACGAGCATCGATAGGTCACAAAGCCCCAAGTAATAGGTTGTTTTAGAGTAATCCTGCCAAGCGACTGCACAATGCCCTTGAAGGCCGGCTGGGGAGGAGCTGATGTTGCCATTTTCCGGTAGATTGTTTTAATAGCCAGATCCGGCGCCACAAAGGCTGTTCAACCAGAGTTGTCAGGCTTAACTCCAGGCTTCTCGGTTTTGCAGATGGTTGTTCAACGTACCTGATATGGAGGGAGGCGGGCTTTCGAACGCCCTTGCATTTGACGAAAAATTGAAGTAACAGTGTTTTCAGGCAGGGTGAAATGTAAATTTTTCGGCTCTGCATAGCGTGCCCCATCGGGGAAGGGCGCTGGTATGTTATAACTACCTAGTTAGGGGGATAAGTTAGGGGGATAAGTTATATAACTATGTCTCGCTCCCTGCACATCATCATTCTTGGCTCCACTGGGATGCGAATAATGCATCTTAAAATAGGTATCGGTTTGCATGCCCTACTTGAAGTTAATTAGTTAGCTGTGGAGTCTTTAGCGCTGCGAACGGACTTTAAAACGATCACCCATCCCATTCTTCCATTGTGGCTTGTTTCTTGCTCCTCCGCTGCATGTTATTTATGTCTCGCCAGCGTGCTAATCTCGCGGTGACTGCATTGCTTTGACTGGGCCGTCGCGCTCTATCGCGATCTGTCGAGTCCGCGCATGATTTTACGGGACACAGCTTTGAGAGCCTGGAACCAGCTCTCAAGGTCGAAGAGGAACATATGCCAGGCTACGAGAAAGGTCTTTTTTACCCCGTTCAAATAGGCCAGGTGTTTAGCTCTCGATACCAAGTACTGTCCAAGCTCGGGTATGGCGCAAATTCTACGGTCTGGTTCTGTTGTGACTTGCTGTATGTCTCCCCGTCTTCCGCCACCAGAAGAGAATGGGTACGGTGGCAGCGAGACTAATCACAATATTAGCCAACGCCGCTATGCAGCTCTCAAGGTTTACATATGCAGTGCTGGAGCCGAACAGGAGTGCAATGTACTGAGGCATCTTGAATCATTAAAGTCGTCCCATCCTGGCAAAGCAAAGGTTCGGACGATGCTCGATGCCTTTACCGCAGATGGACCAAGTGGCCGACACCAATGCTTAGTGCATGAGCCTCTACTGACGAGCATTTCACATCTTCAAGCCTCTCTTCCAAACCAGAGGCTTACCGAACAGGTCTTGAAACTGTTACTCAAAGAGCTTCTAGTAACACTAGACTACCTCCACACCGAGGCTCAAGTCATTCACACCGGTGGGGTTATCATCACCGTCATATCTATCTCATCACCCCCAGGGCGCCAGCTGACTATTTGCAAGATATCCAATCGAAGAACATCATGATCGGCACAAACAAGCCATCTCTTTTCGAGGAATGGAAAGTCCAAGCTGTCCAAGGGCCTACTGCTCGGAAAAATGTACCTGGACATGTTGTCTATCGATCTAGGCGCTACAATATCGAGGAAGGTAGGGGTGCATGGGGCCTACCATTGTTGTCTGATTTTGGCCAAGCTCGTATCGGTCCTGGAGACCATGAGGGTACAATCCAACCAACCCTTTATCGCGCACCCGAAGTTGTTTTGGGCGTGAAATGGGACTCCAAAGTGGATATTTGGAATCTTGGAGCTTTGGTACGTTAAGACGAACGGAGTAGATTTTGGAACCTATCCTGATTGATATGGATTTAAACTACAGATATGGGAACTTTTCGAAAACTATTATATGTTTCAAGATCGTGGCTCTGACGGAGAGTATTCTGAGGCCCACTTGCTAGCTAGCATGATCGCTCTTCTGGGACCCCCTCCAAGTCAATTTCTTAAAAGAAGTGATAAAAGCCTGAGATTCTGGGACGAGTCAGGTAGGAACACTATAAATGAGATGAGAATATGCACATAATGCTAATATATTAACTATAGGCAACTGGAGAGGGCTTGCTGAGATAGCTGATGTTTCCTTTGAGGAGTCGGAGCTTTACCTGGAGGGCCAGAACAAAGATATTTTTATTCAATTTGTGCGGAAGATGGTGAGATGGGAACCAAATGAGAGGCAAACCGCCAGAGAGCTATTAAATGACCCCTGGCTGCTATCGTGACCTGCATACCTATCTATATTTGCGCATACTATCCCCTATCCCCCTCTCCCCTCTGTTGACGGTAAAACTATGTATGAAAAAGGAAGTGGAATGAATTCTTGAGCAGGTTGGAAGGAGCGAAAGGTTACTCTTCTCCGGAATAAAGGAACTGTTTGAATAGAAATGTATACTAATATCAACTACCAGGGCAGATCTTCGTTGGGCTATAAGATACAACTTGTGGAAAGCATACGTTAGCTATCTAGCTGGTGAATACACCTTACAGGTTAAATCACTATAAGATCCTGCCCATACCATGATTGCTAAGAAATAACACCAACGACAGTAGTATAAAGCCTGCTCAAGACCTTGTACAATGATTTGTTTTCTCGACAGGTTCAAAGTTATGTGATTTTCAGAGCCTCAACCAAGCTCCACAAATACCCGCAACTTTATATCGTCTAAGCTCGCCGCCACTTCATCTTGCATCCTTCGTTATATGACAGTGCTGGTAACTTAGTAATGAAAATCTAAGGAAGATAGGGGAAAGGACCCATTCTTGCTCAAAGAGAACCCTGAAGTTTTCGGTTAATTTCCCAAGAATCTTGTTCCTATGTTTGGAATTGGTGACTAGACTGGCCCGGCACGAGAAAGCTCGACTACCATATGTAGTTAACTAGCTTGGCTGAACCAACGATGCTGAAGGGCCTCTCTTTCGGTAATTCTCCTTGTTAGGTCTAGGTTCGTCATTTTACCTACTAAGTCCCAGAGATCGGGGTCAACGTGATCCCAAGTCTCAGAGGGTTGTCTGAGCTCTCCTGGAGTGAAAGTGCCAACGAGGGCTACCAAGCGTTCGAAGAAGATGTTTTCCTTTCCAATATGTTGAAGAAACCCATTAAAGCTGTCTTCATTGGCAAAGTAGGATATATGTCGACGGAGAATATAGTACCATGAATCATCAGCTGTAAGCTGGTTGTCATTGACGCGAAAGACTATCTCATTGACCATAACATAAATCATCTGTGGACAGTTAGAATGGGGAACTTTGGAATAACGATCTCGTGAGAAAGGCTGCCATACCACTATTCCAAAGGAGAAATCATCAGATGCCTGGTTCTGGCGAGATCGACGCCAACTTTCAGGGCTTCTCCAGATCGCATTGCCGCAGAGAGGACCTCGCAACCACTTCCCAGGAGGCACAATGACCGTATCCTCAAGATCCAAGATCTGAACTGCTTTGACGTTCATGAGGTTTTCATCACACTCATCATAGTCCACAAGGATATTGTTTGGCTTGATGTCTATTGGCTGTCAGAATTACGGTGTATGCAGCCTTCTGGGGTGCCCAAACTTGCTATTATGGAGAATATCTCTATCATGCATATCAGCAAGACCTTGCTGAGGACTTCGGAGAATTTTGCTCCTTACTTCTGCGGATAGAGGTTTCAAGCTTAGCCGAAGCAAGTCCCCAGCCAAGAACAGGAATATAAACAACTCAGGCTCTTTGATAGTATCGATCACCGCTCACACGTTTGGACAAGAGGACAGTCTCCTCTGCAAGTCCAATTGGTACTCAAATTCTCCTGGAATCATGTTCTTCACAATGTAAAATTTGCCCTCAGCACTTTCCGCTTGCTCTATAGTTAGCAGGAAGAATGAATTGGGGACATCTCACTCTAAACAGGTATGAAGTACCTTGCGCGATATACACATTGCAGGGGTTTTCTCAGATCAACGAGGATATTCTCAATTTTATAAGTCTGGCCAGAATCGCTCCTGAGCATCATTCCAGGGGTATAGGGCTCATCATTGTTAGCCTGCAAAGTGGTCGACATCCTATACTGCTGGAACAGCTTCCCTCCAAAGCACGAAATTCGTGTCACGGGTGATAGTCTTCTACCTAAAAACAACGGGCGCATCGGCAAGTATCCACACAGACCGAGGGCAGAAACTGAGCGCAACGGCATCAGTGAGATCGGTCGCAATTTGTTCTTGATCAAATTGCAAAGGCCAACTTGTGCGCCAAAAGGGGTTTGCTGGTACTGAGTAGTTGTAAAGCTTTGGATGGAGGAAGGAAACTTGTTGCCGTGCCAATCATTCACGTGACTGTCAGGCGGCTCTGGCGCCCTGATAACTAGGCCTAGGAGTCTTAGGGGCAGAGCCAGTCAGGGTGAGAGCTGATTGGGATGACGGTTAACTCGCCGGGACTACTATGCTCGGCCTTTAGTTACCGGTACACCCTTACATCGAATGTATATTCTACCTCTACTGCCATATAGGTCTATATACCACATGGTTTACATTAGATTGCGAGGCCTATATATCAAATCCCGTATAGAGTGGCAAGTTGCCGGAGGGGAATGGAAGGAAAATGAACAAGAAAATTGATTCGAATAGGATGTTTATAGCATACATACGGGCAAGGGAAAAGGAGCAAGGGGAATGAATACCAGACTTCAGGAGTTGTAGGCGAGATGTTAGTCGCGTTATCTGTTTCATTCATGTGTGGACGTCTCATGCATAAATAGCGCTAAACAACCTAATAAAAGAAAAAGAAAAAGCAACACGTTGCACCAGCCGATGACTCCCAAAGATGATTACTCGATTTTAATGGTCCTGGTACTTGGAGAATAGATGGTCGGAATTATTCTGCCTAATGAAAACCTTGTCGGAGTTTGTCGGAGATGAAAACTGACATTCGTCAAGGGATGAGGTGTATCAAACAGTTGGCGAGTAAAGGAAAGATGACAGATCGGGTATCGGGATGGGAAGAAAGTGTTTAGGCGTTGGAAGCAGCTGCGGTGTTGCTTTGTGCGTTAGAAGAAGCATGGCGAACAGGGGAGAAATACGGATGTGCCATGGCCTCCTGAGCAGTTAGACGGGCCTAGGAGATTTGGGTTAGTTTATCAGCTCGATGAAGATGAGAAAACATATCCCAGGGAACATACTGTGTGGTCATATCTGAGCAACTTGTCCAAGAAGTCAATGGCATCACTGCTAATGAATCTCTGATTCTCGGCGCTGATGAAGGAGTTCCATGGCCTACGTTGATACCGTTGGAGAATCTCATCGTACTGGGGGTCCAGCTCAATGTTGTATTTGTCAAGGTAGTCAAACAGATCATCTGTTCCAAGGACTTTGGCAATCTTGACAAGCTGGTCCGCATTGCTGCTACCGTGGAAAAATGGTTCTTTTCTAAATATCATGGAGGCAAACATGGCTCCAAGAGACCACATGTCCAGGGAATAGTCGTACTCCTGGAAATCAACAAGGAGCTCGGGGCCCTTGAAATATCGCGAGGCAACACGAACGTTATATTCCATGCCTTGATGGTAGAACTCTGCGAGTCCCCAGTCGATGAGCCGCAACTAGGGTCATGTATAAGTAAACTAGCGGATATCATTGTCGATATAACAGGCCTTACCTTTCTCCGCTCATGGTCAATCATGACGTTATGCGGCTTGACATCCCTGTGCATTATTCCCTTGCTATGGCAGAAGTCCAGTGCCTTAAGAAGCTCATATATGTAGTATCGGACATCGTAATCTGCCAATCGCGGGTACAGTGTTCGAAAGTCGGTGTTGTTAACATATTCGAAGACCAAACTGGGCGTCTTGCTCTGACTATCACGAACAACGTCCAACAACGCGACGACGTTAGGACCTCCGGACAGGTTTTGGAGAATCTTGATCTCTCTCTTGATCTTCCGTTTCTTGACGGGTTTGAGGACTTTGACGACACATTTCTGGTAGTTGACAACGTTTACGCCTTCAAACACCTCCGAATATTTTCCTCGGCCTATTTTTGATCATGTTAGCAGGCTGAGACAGGGATCTTGAGGTTAGATTGGATCAGGTAGGGGGGCAGGGTATCGCATACCAATTTTCCGCACAACCTCATAATTCTCCAGGACGCCCCAGGATATATTAACGCTGTCATAATCCCAGTATGTCTTGGGCATCTTCTGGTTCACGTCTGCATAGACGCGTGCCATCTTGACGGTTTGCGATCACCCCACTCAGGGTGTGATATCAATGCAAGGCAGGCGGGGGAGGAGGCTCAAAACTCGACGAGAAGCCCGTTTGCTAGGAAGGTTGCGCGGGAAGAGACGCAGCAGTAATGATTGCACAAAGAAACAGAGCAGGATCTCGCGGGCGCGACGGACGCGGGCGTTGTTGTTGAGCTCGAAGGAACGATTGCAGTTCGCAAAATAGCAAACAGCGTCAACAATCTTTCACCAGCCCGCAGCTCCCAAGCGACAGGGTCACGGGACTTCTAGCCCTCAAAGCACGGACCATGTTTTGACTTACGTAATCTATTTGTTCCTCACGGACAAACTAATCTCCGGGACGGAATAACTTACCAGAATGGAACCTTGAGCATGTGAAACCTTAAACAACTTTGTCCTGAATATTGAACTTCAACTTCATCGGAATATAAGAAGAGACCATATTTAAATAACTTTTGTTGACAAGTGCGTCATTGCTATAGCCATCAGTTTGAGGTGTATGGGGTGAGTCCTATCTAACTAGCTATGCTGATCCATTGTGACCCTCCCAGACGAATTCAAGAATTCCCATGGCGGACCCTGGAGGGTTCACAACTCCCTTAAGCACGAACCCTGGATCGGCCGCTTTGAACAATGCCTCCCAATCAGCCAGAGTTCTTTCTCGGGAATTGAAGGTGAAGGCCATTTCCAGATCCATCGATCTAGAAAAGCGTCAGACATATACCATCTTCAGCTGATGCTGCGACATACCTGATATCTCTTTCATTCCAGTAGGCCAGAGATCCTGGCTCGGGCATGAAAACTTCTTGTATAACAAGCCTCGCCCCGGGCTTTAATGCTGGTAACTGGGCCCTTAGGATGCGAATACAATAGGCATCAGACCAATTGTGGAGGATCCAACGAAGAAAATATACATCAGCTCTGATGGGCTGAGGATCGAACAAATTATGGGCCAAGAAGCGGACCCTCTCTGCTACTTCTCCTGCATCTGCATACTCAATTACCTTAGCCATGTCCTGCACAATAATACGGAGCTGACTGTATCGCCTTGCAAGAGCCATAGCGAAGTGGCCTCGGGCACCTCCGACGTCAACCACTTGAGCTTCCCCTAGAGACTTCCAGTCGTAGTAGTCTGTTCCATACGATAGGTCAAATGCCGGTCTTGATGTCATCATCTTCATAGCACTACTGAAGCGGGCCGCTCTATCGGGATTTTCTGCAAGAACATCGTAAATTGACCCTGTGATATTGTGTGCAAGCGAAAACCCCTGCAGACAATATTAAGTTTTGGTTCATTAATGCTTTCATTGATGGGTTGAGTGACGGGTATAATTACAGTCTCGTTTGGTTCCTCTGAAGCTGGCCATTTTTCAAGGGCTTTCGCAAACTGCCAATACAATGTCAGTACTCACTCAACATTCTCAATTTGGTTCTCTACTTACCTTCGCGCCTGCAGGGCTTAACTCCTCGATACCAGCTCGAGTCCAGTCTCTCGCATCCGGATCGGCTAAAATTCTAGAAGCCTTCGTGTGTTTTACAATACCAGGCTCGGGCTCACAAAAGATTCGCATCATGGTAGCATGGCGAATAATTTGGCTCACCATCTGCTCCGTCAATGGCGTCCTATCAGAAATCTCCTTAAACGAAGCCTGCCCATTAGGCGGTATGAGTTCCGCAATACCAAAGTGAGAGATCGCCTGCAGACATGCAGACTTATCACTCTGATTATATGAACATCAATGTTAAAGTTAGCTGTTTGTTGATGGAATATATCAAGATGGAGTGATCGGGTGATCTTTACCCTAGCTAACCTATGAATCATATTTGTGGGCTCGGTGAGCAAATCGTGAAGCTCTGCTGTTGCATCGAGGACGATATCCTGAGCTTTACCAATATGTACGGGAAGAAGGGGTGCATTCTCATCAAACGATGGTGAAAGTGCCCCTAGGGTATCGAGAGTCTCCTGAATTTTGAGCACCGCGTCCTTGATCGTGGTGGCGAGGTGAATAATTCTCGGTACTGGTACTACTGGAGCCATTTTTGGGTTTCCTATGCGGAATAGGGCAGCGGTGAGGAGAATAGACCGCAACTTGGTTACGGGGATAAAAGCGAGGGGGAGGAATTGAGGGAAAGGTAAGGTACAAAATGGAATCGAATATCAAGTAAGCTAATGTGTTTCACATATATGTCCTCAAATCCAAGACGTACTTACGCTATTTGAAATTAGATTTCATTTTTGGCCGATATTGCAGCAAACGAAGGAATATATGCAGTCTCACCCGCACTTCCTTGGGTGGCAGCCTGGCGGAAGGTACCTGTCTGGAGGGGTTTGCTTCGTTTGCCTGATACAGTATCACATCAATATGCAGCTTACTCTACTCTGGTCCTTACTACCATGCTTATACCCCGGACCCTTTCATATCCTAGCCTCACTGCGGCACTGGAAGTTAATACCACTGGCAAATAAGAGACTGACATGACCTCCACATGAAATGATCGCCCTTGTTCACTGATACCCCGAACTTCGGGGAATAATCTGTAAATCAGGATGCACAGCTCCGGATGGCAGTGGAATGAGTGTTTGTCGCTTCTATTACCCATGTACTGTTGGTGGGGCCGGGGAGGGTTAGGATTCGGCATGGATCATCCTTTCTACTATTCTTCTAATGGACGGGCCAACATCCAGGGGTTCTAAGAAGTTGGGATGAGGAGGCCTTATAAGCCTACACATAAATGGGGTTTATCAAGTATTCAATATGCATACCTGTTCGAACCAAAACACAACGAGGCTCCATCCCAACATACTTCAATATGCCACTGCTCAATGATCTACCGTCTTGTTCTACAGAACTGAAACCCGCATCATCAGAGTCCCGGTGCTCCACATTACCCTTATGCTTCCCACTTTGCTCGCAATCACCATCAGAATGGGGATCGTCAACCATCTGTCTTCAAGATATCCTTAAAGCAGTGGCCGTGCTGAGGAAAGAGTCAATTATCTGCTATCCTCTTGGAAATATTGCTGGCTATAAGGAATATTCCTGCGTGGAGCTCTATATCCAATCCAGTCACTGCGCCCAGTTACTTCGGACACTTCCTAGCTTTGAGGACGAAGCTCCTATACTTTTACACTTGGATGATCATTGGAATACTATAGTTTGGTTCTGGGCAGTTCTGCTTGCCAATGGTGTTCCTGTTCTCTCTTCTCCATTCAGCATCGTTGATGACCATCGTCTGGAGCAGATTCGGGGCTTGTCGAAGCTTCTTCAATATCCTATATGCATCACAACAAAAAATTTACTTGGTGTGTTTGGCGGCACCGAAAATTTGCTGGAAATTCACACAACGGAATCACTGAGCTTGGATAAGTTTCAAATTGGCCACCGAAGCCCAGATGTTTCAGCTGCCTACCCAAGCTATAGGGGAGGCCAATCTCTAGCGATGTTGATGCTAACGTCAGGAAGTACTGGGAACTCAAAGGCTGTACGCCTGACGCACAAGCAGATAATTTCAGCAATCACGGGGAAAGCATCCGTACGCCCGTTACCCGTTGGCGGCCCATTTATGAACTGGATTGACCTTAACCACGTTGCAAGCCTCATTGAAATTCACATCCAAGCTCTGTGGCTAGGAGTTGACCAGATTCATGCCCATGCAGCTGATATAGTTTCATCACCCAACGTCTTCCTAGACCTACTGAGCAAGCACCGTGTCTGTCGCACTTTTGCGCCAAACTTTTTCCTCGGAGGCTTGATATCCTCAATGAAGTCAAAAAAAAGTCTTCCGCTAGGCGAAAGGCCGTGGGACTTGTCAAATTTGCAGATAGTTGCCTCTGGAGGAGAGGCCAATGATGTGACAACCTGCGTTGCTGCGTCTGCCTTATTCCAAAATCTTGGAGCACGCCCAGATGTCATCACACCGGGATTCGGCATGACAGAGACCTGTGCTGGGGCAATATTTAACCTTACTTGTCCGTCATATGATGTTGACCGCGGCTATGCTATTGCCTCTCTAGGCAAGTGCATGGAGGGTATCGAGATGCGTGTTACGATTGGCCCCAGGTTGGCGGCTATAGATGAGTGCGGCGACTTGGAAGTACGTGGTGATGTGGTGTTTAATGGCTATTATCGAAATCCCGAGGCCACTGCTAACGCTTTTCCTTGGGGAGACGGATGGTTCCGTACCGGCGATCGAGCTCGTATCAATTCAGACGGCAATCTCTGTCTTATTGGCAGGAAAGAAGAAGTGGTAAACATTAATGGCATTAAAATTGTCATAGCAGACGTCGTATCGCTGCTAGAGCGGGCACTTGGGAATAAAGTAAACCGTTTTGTGGTGTTCTCTTCTCGAGTCACTCACACCGATCAGATCACTGTTTGCTATACCCCTACGAAATGGCCCCATACCGCTGAAGAGATGGACGTGGTTGACGCAATTATTACTCAAGAATGCCTTTCTAATACCTTTGCGCGTCCTTTGGTGTTCTCCTTGAGAGAGTCATCACTGTCTCTTTTACCTATATCCTCGCTGGGAAAAATTTCGCCTGCAAAGATGAGTTCATTATTCGCATCTGGCGTCTTCGATCAAGATGTTAGCCTTCACAAAAATCAGGTTAAGGAGTATAGGGAAGAGAAACAGCGGGGAGCATTGCACTCTGTTGCAACAGAAGCTGAGACCTTTATCATGGTTGACTTCGCAAAGACCCTCAACATTGACCATACTGCGATAGGTCCAGAAACGCAAGTCTTCGAGCTAGGTTTCACGTCCATGGACCTTATTCGCCTGAAACGCCGTCTCGATACTCGTTTGGGAATCACATTGCCCATAGTGACAATCATGAAAAACCCAACTGCCCGATTATTAGCCGCAGCTCTTGCTAGCCAGACCTCCAGTGATGGACCAGTTGAAACAAAAGACACAGAATACGATCCTGTGGTAATCCTGAAATCTGGTGGTTCAAAGGCACCACTTTGGCTTTTCCACCCCGGCGTGGGCGAAGTCCTTGTCTTCATTGGTTTAGCACAGCATCTTGCTGATGAGGATAGACCTATTTACGCCTTGCGTGCAAGGGGCTTCGAACGAGGACAGACACACTTTGCGTCCATTACGGAGACAGTCGACACCTACATCCATGCCATCCAAAAGCACCAGAAAAGGGGTCCGTACGCATTGGCAGGCTATAGCTACGGTGCAATGCTTGCCTTTGAAGCGGCCAAAAAGTTAAACTCCATGGAAATAGGCACCACGGGCAACTCAGTACGCTTTCTTGGCAGCTTCAATCTACCACCGCACATCAAATGGCGCATGCGTCAACTATGCTGGAACATGTGCCTGCTGCATCTGACACAGTTCCTCGGAATCACAACAGACGAATATGTGGAGGAAATGGAGCTGAACCCGCAGTTTTCCCAAAAATCCAGGCATGATGCAGTGGAACAAATACTTCTTGCTGCGGACCGGGGGCGGATGGAAGAGCTGGGACTGGAGGACGTGGCACTTGCCAGATGGGCTGACGTCGCTTTCAGTTTGCAGAGCATGGCAGTGGACTACGAACCCAGCGGACAGGCAGACAGCATTGATGTGTTCCATGCCATTCCCCTCAAACTTGCCGCTCCATCGAGAGAAGTGTGGATAAAGGAACATTTGAGCAAATGGAGAGACTTTTCTCGGACTGAGCCCAGATTCCATGCAGTTGGAGGTGCACACTACACCATGATTGGGCCAGATAATGTGGTTGGATTTGCTTCAACGCTCAAGGGGGCCCTGGCTGCACGCGGGGTCTAACCCTGGTATCAGTTAGAATACCGACTTTTTTGATTGGTTATGTGGAAGACTTTTGGGAGAATGCGTAGTCAATTCGTTTACATAATGGTTATAAGTTTCTAGCCTTGTTTCCCTGCTTGCACTCCGTACTCCAGACTGCAGTATACTCCCTACTTGTTTACTCCGCACTGAGACACTGGGATGCAGCTACCTGCATGGCCTTGTACGTTACCTTAGAACGGGTATAAATGTCTGGTTTAAATTGTTTGCAGGGGGCGGCTTATTTGGAGCAACCCAGCATGGCTGTACCATTATCCCGGGTATATATGCACAATGCATGCGTCCACTTATGTTTAGTCAATATATTTTTGGCAGTATTGACAGGCATGTTTATGTCGCAGCTACGGAGTTACTGACGTTTAAGGTTAATTCGCCGGTAACACACAGACGTCCGCGACCACATTGGTGGCCAAGACAATTATACCGATGTGCTTCACACTGCTTTGCATCTTTTCCTGCGCTTTTCATGTACAATAACACGGGAGGCAGCGGCATACCAACATATGATGCCTGTATACTCTGGCTTCTCCGCTATCTAACCCCTAACAGCTCCCCGCCTGGGCGATTTCTGGATGACTCCGGGCCTGGCTAGGCGTTCGCTAGTAGCTGTCGCTTGGAATACCACTGTTTCACATACAGGCAAGATGGAAACGGCCTTGCAATGTGAGCGCATAACCTGATCCGGTCTTCTGGACATGATTTGAGAAGGTTACGAATCTACATATATATAGACCTCCTTCAGAAGAGAAGTTACTGGCTCCCTTTCTGTTACTCCACAAAAAACATTCGACAAAGATACTTTACCCATTTGGCCCATTTCTCTCCTAAAGCAGCTACAATGGAGGCAGCTATTGACACAATCAAACAGTTGGCAATGACTGCCAGCGAGGCAACTCGTCAGGAGGTGGTAAAATCATTGACCAAGCTTATGTTTGCTTTAGAAGGCCCCAGTGACACTATTCATAGATATGGGCATATGGTGAGCTCCTTTTATTAAGCTTCTACAGTTTTACTGTAGCTGACATTGTGTTATAGCATCTACAAACTGCCATAATTAGGATCGGCTTTGATTTAAGCCTCTTCAAATTGTTGGCCGATGCGAATGGGCCTCTATCGGTGGACGAATTTTCCCAGAAAACCGGCGCTGAGCCCCAGTTGATGAGTATGTTGGAAAAAAGTTATTTCTGCAACTTTAGTTAACATGTAATTAACTGTTAATGACAATGCAGGCCGGATTTTTAGGTACCTTGCCGCCATTGACTTGGTGGACGAAGTTTCGGCTACTCAGTATGCCGCAAACAATGTAACCCGAAATCTTACTGAGAAGTCTGTTGAGGCTGGTTTGTGCCACTAGTAAGTTATTTATAGCCCTTGCCTAACTTTATCTGTTCAAGCAGTTAATAACTCCTATAGCTTCTACACTGCTTCACCTCAGTATGAAGCGCTCCCTGGCTTCTTGAAAAGAACCAAGTACCAAAACCCAGTTGACGAGTTACATACTGCCTTTCAAGACGCCTGGAAGACAGATCTCCATGCGTTTGCATGGTTCAGTGACCATCCTGCGCAGCTTACCTACTTCAATAACTACATGGCTCTCCGTCGTACGCCTGAAGTTTCGTGGCTTTCAGTGTATCCCGTTGCTCGTGAGATTGAGGGCTGGGACTCAAAGGACAACACCAGGGCCATCTACGTTAACATCGGAGGCGGCATAGGTCATCAGTGCAAACAATTCAAGGACAAGTATCCTGATTTGCCTGGAAGGGTGATATTGCAGGATCTACCACATTCAATCTCAAAAGCACTGCCAACACCCGGTGTAGAGAACATGGAACATGACTTTTTCCAGCCACAACCAATTAAAGGTAGTGATGGCTTTTCTTTCCCCTTTTCTCTTCTTCCAGCCTGATAAAAGCTAATCAGTCCTTTCTGGAATTTTAAACCGTAGATGCCAAATTTTACTTCCTCCGAGGAGTCCTCCACGATCATCCACCCCATCAGGTGCGAAAGATCCTCGAACAAACAAAAGCAGCCATGGGACCTGAATCTGTTATGTTGATTGATGAGATGATCCTGCCAACGACTGGAGTAAACAACATGGCTGCATCTGTTGACATGACTATGCTCACTGCATTGGCAGGCATGGAGCGCACCGAGGCCCAGTGGCGCAATACTCTCGAAGAGGTAGGGTTGGAGGTTGTGGACACTTTCCCATACTCTCCAAAAAATTATGAGGGAGTGATACAGGCAAGGCTGCCAAGATAGACACAACACTGACATGGAGGGTATCCCAACTCTGGCTGTCAAGGATGCCGCTTCCGGCTATTATTGACCTCATGGTAACTAGTTAGTTATTGAACAATCCAGATTAACCTAGGCATTGAAACGATCCTTACCTCATTATCAATCGTTAGGATTTAAATTATTAATCAAAGCGTTCATCGGATGCCCCTCCTTGAACCCCTGATCAATACTTTGTATACTTGGTGGGTATTAAACTTCGGGCAGTGACGACTTGGCTCGTGCAATTTTAACTTTTAGATTCGGCGAACAAACGTTTCCACTTCCGGCGGAGACGCTAGGCCAGGCTAGGACTAGCGGCCCTGTCATTGCTTATGCTTAATTTGACTCGCAATCTTTATAAATATCTAGATAGGTACTTTCTCTGTTCTGCTTAAAACAATTCCTTTTCTCTACGTAACAGTTGTGCCATTCCTGAGTAGCGATATCTTTTCTACCAGCTCAATGAATCTATTAGCCTCATTAAAGACGAACATCGGCTGGCCTGCCGTTATTGGAGTCGCGGTTGCTTATTATGGAACGCTAGTCTTCTACCGTTTATTCCTTCACCCTTTATCTCGTTTTCCTGGTCCCAAACTAGCGGCTATCTCACGCTGGTATGAAGCATACTACGATGTCGTACTTGGTGGTCAGTATACTGTCAAGATCGCTGAATTACACAAGAAATATGGTAGGTATGCCCCTCAGTTCCAATACCCCAAACTGCTAGCTATAACACTTAGTCAATAGGTCCCATTATCCGTATTAGTCCCCATGAACTACATGTCATTGATCCACCGTTTTTTGAAAAACTTTATCGCTCAGATGGACGCTGGGATAAGTATTCATGGACATACGATGCCTTTGGGGCTAAAATGTCAACCATCTTCGGTTCAGGTATTTTCCTTCTCTCCTTAGCATCAATAACATAGCTACATCTAATTATTTCCATAGATCATTACGCTCATAAGGCCCGCCGCCGTGCCCTTGCCCCTTTTTTCTCGAAAGCGAATATTATTGCGCGACAAGATTTGCTTCAGAAAAATATTAAGAAGCTTTCCCAACGAATTACATCATTCGAAGGAACCACTTTCAATCTAGGAGCTGCCATTAGTGCTTTTGCACGAGACAATGCCAATGAACTAATTGTCGGTAAAGATTACAATGAGCTTAGCCTGGAAGATTTTGGACTTGGATTGTCACTTGCATCGCAAGGTGCCGGTGTTTTTTGGCGTACGACCAAGCATCTACGCTGGTTCGGACCCTCAATGAGAGCGATGCCTATTGAATGGGCTAAGAAGATGGCTGATGAGCACACACAATCATTTCTTCATTACCTCTAGGTTAGTCAAGGTGGTACTATCATTCAATATAATTGAGACGGCCAATATATGTCATACTGATCTACAAAGCAATCTGAGCAAGACACTCGAGATACATTGGCTGCTGCTATATCTCCCTCCCCTGATGATAAAATCAAAAGCACTTTGATATATTCAATTGCTCATTCTGATCTTCCGCCCGCTGAAAAAACGTTCGATCGAATCTTCGAGGAAGTAGCTACTGTTACCGGTGCAGGGTTTGAAACAATTTCGAACACTCTGCGGCTTATTCTCTACCACGTTTATAGCAGCAATGAAATTCTACAAAGGCTCAGAGAAGAAATCAATGCAGCCTCGACTACAGTCACAGCGCCTCTTACGTTAAAAGAATTAGAACAGCTTCCCTACCTCACTGCTGTTTTAATGGAAGGCTTGCGTCTAAGCCCTGGAGTTGGATCCAGAGCGGCGCGTATTACGGATCAAGACCTCTTTTATGAACACTGGCGTATACCCGCCGGAACCCCTGTTGGAATGGCAACAATACTAATGCACACTGACGAAAATTTGTACCCTGATCCCATGTGCTTCAATCCCGATAGGTGGATAGATAATACGGCAAAACGATCCACTACGACATTTGCTCCTTTTTCTCGGGGAACCAGAATATGTCTTGGCATGCAGTAAGCTCAGTCCTCACAATACATGGTTATGGATTTACAATGGCTTGCTAATACACTGAACCATCTCAGCCTTGCATGGGCGGAGATGTACTTACTCCTCGCTTCTTTGGTTCAAGGATTTGATTTCAAGATCAAGGATGCCACGGCCAGTGATTTTGCATTTGAAAAGGACAATTTTGGTATTGGCACCAAGGCTGCATGTAATCTCATAGCCTATGTTATGATTCACGAGGCCTGATGCGCGCCATGACCCTCATTCAGCTAATTCCTACAGTATATACAGCCGATTGCTTTGATTTAAGTTTGATAAAGAACATATTTGGAGACTTGTTTAAATTACATTAGGCAAGGGAAGTCCCGCAAACCTTGCTTGTGCATAACGAGTTAGCTACGCGGATAATGATTTTGCCACCCTCGCATGTTCTCAAAGCCTGGATGCACTGACAATAGTTGCTTGTTATTATACAAGGTTTATCATGGAACACCATGGAAATTTCAAGCATTAAGGAATATGAGGAGCAATGAAAAAACACCCGACAGCCCAACAGCTAAGTGGGTTACCGAGACCAGCGTAACCTCCCCACAACGTTGCATCATACGGGGTCCCATGTCCTAGTGTTACTTTCATTATAATATCTAGTTGGCTACTATTAACCACGATTAATTAGTTAACATCTTGACTGTTGAGTATCAAGTTCAGAATCCACAGCTGTCATCTGGACTCCTCAAATCCCAGGCGAGGCTGTGTTAACTTGTTGCCGAAATGACAATCAATACCCCTCAATAAATATCTGAAACCGGAGATTTGCAACTGTATTCTTCAGGTAGTAGTTATATGGGGGCATGGTTAGCTAGCCCTGTCTATTCCATTAAGTAATTTGAGAGAGAACGGGCGGTTATCTAGTCAAGTATAACTACATAGATAACCAACTACCTAGCGACCAGGAGTCGTCTACTCACTGAGCTCTTTTCTATATCAAAATTTGTCAATATCCAAGCATGCTGAATATGTCTGCCGCACAAGACAACCCAGGCCGAGGACCTCTAATTATGGGCCTAACTTGGGCATTTGCCGTGTTAGCTACTATAACTGTTGGTCTTCGGTTTTACATTCGTGTCGAACTTAATAACCGCCCTTCGTTGGATGACTGGCTAATTGCCATTGCCCTTGTGAGTTACAGCTGATTATTTTGTGGTATTACTTGTCTCTATCATGCTTAGACTTTTATATCTTTAGATCTTCAATTTTGTCTCTCAGGCATTTGTGAGCGTTGGCTTTACATATGGACTCGGGAAGCATGATGCCAACTTACAGCCAAACCAAATAATCAACATCTTGAAATGGATGTGGCTTGCCAACACTCCTGGGCTTCTTGTTGCTATTACCGCACGCCTCTCCATCGCCATGCTTCTCGTGCGTCTTTTTGGAAAAGTCCACAAATGGCTCAAGTGGTTCTTAGTTGTGGTATCGGGACTCTGCACCGTGCTGACAGCTATCATCATCCCATGCACATTTCTGCAAACTACTCCTGTTAGCGGAAACTGGAATCCATTCCAGCCAAGTAAACGTTGGAACCCAATGATCTATATTAGTCTTGCATTCCTTACACAATGTGAGTCGCCGACCACCTCAAATGTACATCTCAATTTCAAACCAACCAGCTAATAGAAAACAACTAGCTTTGTGGACATTCACCGATTTAACCTTTGTGTTATTCCCCGTGATCATTATCTGGAGGCTTCAAATGAGCCTAGGGAAACGAATAAGTCTTGTACTTCTTATGAGTGCATCCCTCCTTACTATGAGTGTATCGATCCTCAAAACTATAAGTCTCCAACACATCGCCAATCAGCAAGCTGATCCTACTGCCACTGATGTCCAATACGAGTCCTCCATTACCATCTTATGGTCCTGTCTTGAGCAAGCATTTGTCATCATTATGGGCTGTGTCCCAACTTTGGGATCCTTTACAAAACTGAAGGTTGCACAGCCATTAATGACTTCCTTGGATAGTGTCTTACGGCTGATAAACCCATTCAAGAGGTCTATAGTGCATAGAGCAGTCAAGGGTAATGGCACAAACTCTCAGAATTACGAGAATTTGGAAATGCCTAAAGCTATATCGGGCTGGAGTGATGGGCTATATGGACCAGTCCTTGACAAGTCACTATCCGCACTGGAGGCAAATCCGCTGGGTGGGTGTTCAAGCGCTACGAGTAATAATTATAGCTACGTGTAAATAGAGTTGAAACAAAATACAGGTGTAATTAAGATTAAACCTGAATGGAAGAAGCCAGAAAAATAGATTTATCAGTAAAGTGACTCTTGACCAACGAGGAGTATAAAAAGGTGTCAGATATATGCTATGATTTAGTTAATACATCTTGCTTGGTCTCATGCCTCGTACATACCATAGCTCAATATCATCATCCTTCTTTTGATAAAAAGTATAATCTACGCAAATTGCAATCGCCTGTTGCGTTCCCTCGTAGTGATCAATTCCGATAAAAAGTATCAAGCTATCAATAAAAAGGTTATTACACTTATCTGTCGCCCTTCTCAGCGACATCTTCTTCACTTCTCTGCTTGCCATCCCTTTTTCTCAAGTCATGCCAGCCCATTCCCCATAACACAAGTGCACAAGCAGCTCCCACTGCAGCAACCAAGTAAAAAATCCTATCAATAATGTTGGCGTATGCAATCAGAACCCCAGGTAAATCCTCCAATTGGACAATGGAACGGAAACCAGTGGCTCCAGCCTTGATAATTGCGGCTGAATTGGCATTTGGCGCATGCTCATGCAGTTGCGAGCCAAGGCTAGAGAGAAATATCACATTGCACAGGACAAGCATTATAGCCGGTCCAAGGGATTGAGCAAATATGACCAAAGCCATGCCTGTAGCGAGTTGCTCGCCACTTACTGCAGCTTGAATTGTGATTATAGCCTTATATTGTTAATTATTTATGTCCTACCAATGTTATGTTCAGATACAATGAGAACCGAGTACTAACCAGTTGCATGCTTATTCCTGATCCAATTCCGGCTAGTAATTGAAATCCAATCCAGTATCCTGTTGGACTACCTGGCTGTAGAATCGAATAGAATCCGCTCCCCAGAGATAAGAGAATGGTTCCAGCAACTGCTAGAGGTATCACGAAACCCATCTTTTGTACTAAGGTAAATTAGCAACCTTGCGTCATGCAATCAATGGTAAGGAAATATGTAAAAGTTATAGACTTACACAATACTCCAGATAGTCCAGCCGCGACAAGCTGCGGAAGAATGGTAGGTAGCAAATATACTCCACTGAGCACAGGAGTTGCATTATTGATGGCTTGGAAATATATTGGGAGAAAGAATGAAGCGCCATATACTGCTGATATCATGAATGCCTGGTAGAATGCAGACGTCCAGACAGGTTTCAGTCTCAGCATAGAGTGTGGGAGTAATGCATCATCCCCCTTATACCTATTCCAAAAGAGCCAAAGGGCAAAATTTGCGGCAAAGCCACAAAAGAGCCCAATGACGCGGGGGGAGTTCCATGGGTATTGGTTGGCTCCATACTGGAACGCAAGTAGAAGCTGTAGTATAGCTGGGGCAAATAAGATAAAGCCGACAAGGTCTAAGTGGTGATGTAGTTTCGAAAGAACTACAAATACGTTGGGCTTTCGTGTTTGTTCTGGAATGCTCAAAAAGAGAAGAAAGAATGCTGTAAATGCACCTAGGGGTAAATTTATGTAGAAGCCTAACGACCCGTGAGTAATTTATATGGACGAGGAAACGAGAACTGCTTGTTAGGTAATACTCACACCACCTCCATGTCGTGTAGGAAGTGAAAGCCCCTCCAACAAGAGGCCCAGCAACAAGTCCAAGTTGGTTCACTATCAACAAGTATCATATTAGTAACACTACAGTATTTGATATCGAGTCAAGGACTGCTTACATCCCATTGTTAGACCAATCAAGGCTATACCAAGCGAGTCAGTAATTGTACGTCTTGAATTTCAGGATTTTTACTAGAATTTACTTACTAGGACGCTTCTCCAATGGAACACAGCTTGAGATTATGGTAATTGCACCATTAATGATACCAGAAGCGCCGAATCCAGCAATAGCACGGCCTACAATGAGCATGTTGGATGAGATGGCAGCACCACAGAGGATGGAACCTATCTCAAAGATGGCAAAAAAAACCAAAAAGGTCCACTGAAAATTCGCATTAATATTAACATATATATAAAGGAGCCAATATATACGAACCTTTGAGTTGAAACTTGTATATATTTTTCCAGTAAGTGGCTGCGGAGCAGCGCTGCAACTTGTCAGCTGGATTATCGCACCTTGGATCACAAATAGCCAGACCTTCCGAATTGATATGCACTAGCATACCATCCTACATCGGGAAGTGAGTTGAAGGTATCGGTGATACGAGGAATTGCCTTAAATGGAATGCAGAGGTTTAGTTGGAGATGTAGATAATTAATATGTCACGGCAAACTTACCGTTCCAATGACCATCGTGTCCAAGAGCATAAGAAAACATGCAAGGGCTACGCTACTAACAATCAAAACAAGTTTAAAACCCGTAACGTACTCGACAGAAGTTTCTGGACTTGTATCAATCTTCTCTGGCTTCTGAGAATCCAGATCTGGTGACATTTTTTTTTTCCGGGTGATTAATTAGTCACTGTCAAGGAGCGTGGGAGACGGGAAATGAGGTTGAGTAACTAGTTATCAATGAGTTCGTTTCTCGCTATTCATGCTGGGGAACTGTCACCTTTTAGTTGAAGAGAGCGGGCTCAACTAGAGATAGGCAAATGCCTTGGAACGTGGGAACAAAAGTCAATGCTCCACAATTAGCTTCGGGATCGCCCTAACCTTAAATTAGTGGAAACCTTGCTAGTTAACTTAACTTCGTTAAGTACATGGATGGGCCTTGGCAGAGCTGCTTGACTTTCATGCATATAAGAACGACGTACACCGAGTATAAATGCATGCATATCGCAGCCAGTCCCTGCCAGCCTTACATATCCAACAAATAATTCCCTGTTTACAACATCACGCCATTAATCTGCATGTGAGTACTTATGTCATGGTCACTTCAGCTGATCAAGTAGTCCAGATTGAAAGTTTTTTGCCAGGGGTATTTCTAAGTATTAAAGACGTGCCTGGGCATGTAGGATTCGGATTGACTGGATTTTAAACCAACTTGATTAACGGCAGCTAAAGAAATATGCTTACATCCAACAATGCCGTTTTTGTCTGTGGCGCCACCGGTAGCCAAGGAGGAGCCCTGGCGTTAAAACTCCGAAAGGACCTAAATTGGTCCGTTCATTCGACCGCCCGAAATCTTGCCTCGCCTGCGGCAATATCTCTTCTCGAAGCCGGCGTGAGACTTACCCAAGGAGACTGGGATAATGAGGCAGCATTAATTGCTGCCCTTCAAGGGTGCAATAAAATGTTTCTCTGCTTGTTACCGGATTTCAAAGACTCGGACAGGGAACGACGTCAGGCGGAAGTCATTGTCAAAGTTGCCAAGGCTGCAGGAGTTAAGCAAGTGATCGTGTCGACTTCTCTAGGCGTCTTCACGCTGGATGACCCTCAACTTGAAACTGAGGTCCGAGAACACCTTACGCCGGACTCTTTTATGGCACGACATATCGCTAGCAAAAAAGGGGTTGAGGATGCAGTTCGAGACGGGTGCTTCGATTATTGGACCATCCTTCGGCCCTCCTTCTTTATGGCTAATTTCTTAGAGCCTAAGGTTGCAAGATACCCTGAGCCGAGAGAACATGGTACTTGGACTACAGCAATGACACCAGAGTCTCGATTGGCTTTAATTGACCACGTTGACATTGCAGCGTTTGCGGTTGAAGCCTTCCGCAATCCTCAGAAATACCATGGGCGTGCATTCGGACTAGCAAGCGATATATTGACAGTCCAAAATACGCTGGACATACTGGGAAAAGCAGCAGAGAAGCCACTCAAAGCAATATTCATGACAGATGAAGAGATCCGAGAGAAGCAAAAGACATCGAATGTATTCACCAATTCTCAAATCTCAATGAGATATATGACTAAATACATCAACATGGACGAGATTACGGGGGTCATTCAACCGACGACTTTCAAGGAGTTTTTGGACAGAGAAGATAAGGCCGTACGCGAGACCTACAACAGTAGGAACAGTATATAAAAAGGACCAATTTGTGGAGCAACAATCACAGTTATATATGTCAACAACCGTTTTCATCTGAAGCAATATTCAGTCCTGAAAATTCTCCTATTGCCGCCTAGTAACGCGTAGTTTCGCTCCCTGTGGAGGAAGCATGAAGTTAAGCAGTGAGGCTCTCTTTCCAGGGCTTTTGTAACTTCCACTTCATAGTTAAGAAGTGCATGGGCAGTTGCCTGTTTCACCATGCAGGCCACAAACCATCTTCCCGGGCACGCGTGTCTCCCATATCCGAATGGAAGGAACGACGTACTCACAGTAGTTATAAACTCCCTCTTAGTTTTGGTTGGCTCTTTGTTGGATAATGTTTCATGCTCTCGCGAAAACCTAAAAGGATCAAAGTGTTCAGGATTTTGATAGATGTCCCGATCATGGTGAACCATCTGGGCAGGGAAAACGGTTCGAAGTCCGCAGTCAGCGGAAATTTGGATTGCCTCGCCGATATTGATTGGTTGACCAGAGATAATATCCAGAGGAAGCAGATGTACCATCACGTCATTGAGGCGCATGGACTCACGCACGGCAGAGTCAAGACAGTATAGTTTGTCAATTGCCTCCTTGCTTGATAGTCCTTGGTATTGGGCAGAGACCTTTTGACATTCGGCAATCAAGGTGCTGACAATCTCATCTCTGGAAGAACTGCAGTGGATATCAAGTACAACATGGACAAAAACCCAACCGATAGCAAAGACGAACATGGAAGTGAGGGCGAGGATGCGACCAGCTATTTTTTTCGCGGCTAGCTGCTCCGGTCCATAATTCTCAGATATTTCAATGAGCCACCGGATTACGTCGCCCTAGAAGAAATCGATATGGTTAGAATCAGAAGTCGTAATCTGGAAGTCAAAAAATACTGCTTGAACATTCAAACATACCTGGCCATCTCTCTGACTTTCTTTCACATGACGGTACTGAAAAAGTCGCTCTTCCACAAGTGGTATCAAAATTTTCAATAGCTTTCGCTCATAATATTTGGCACGCAAGGCGATTAATGGGCCTGCCATTGGCCGCATCCCAGGAGGGAGACAATTGATAAGACAAGCGTCCACCAAGACGGCATTGGCATACAACATTGACTGCTCCAAATAGTCTTCATCTCGACATCCAGGAAGTCCAACCATGATGCGGAGTGATGCCCGGGCAATGATTCGTACCATGGAATCCCACGCTTGGATAACCCTGCCCTCCTTAGAATCTCCCCAGTATGTTTGAAATGCCCCTTGCCATTCTTCAAATAGTATCTTCGTAAGGGAACTCATATCTTTCTCTCTTAGGTGGCGGCGAACGATATCGAAGTGAATGGTGTTTCCCCAGACATCCTTGTCAGACATTAGGTATTGAAATTGGGCGTTCTCGAGCAATGCATTGAAACTAGATAGCTCGTTTCTAGGTTTGTTGAGAAGCCCCAGCTTAGAGGGGGGAAGCACTAAGACAGCTCCCCCGACCCACATGGTAGGAAGGGCAAATGGTTTGTTAGCCTTTGAAAACTTTTCGTACCCTTCACACATTGTCCCTTGCATTGATATCACTGACTTTGCGAGAGCAAAAGCCCAAGAGAGAGCCCCATCACCAGGAGAAATGCCGACAACATCAAGCTGAGTCCATACTTTGTTCGATTGTTTGGAGCTTTTGGCCATAAACAGGAACCAAGGGAGAAGTAGGCCTGCTATTGCAACTGCACCAGCCAAGAATTGATTCACCGAGGCCATAGTGGATTTTTAAGGAAAAAATGTGTAAAGATTTAGATTGGAATAGGAGGTAATGTCAGGAACAGGTAGCATACCTGGGTATATAGCTCCGATCTGGCTCTTGGAATAAAGTACAACAATGACAAATGTTGGAAAGGTATTCAGCTACCTTAAGCATGTAGTTAACTAACTAACTGGTTGGTTAGAAGAAGAAAAAAGGCCCCCAGCCAGCGGCAATGTACGCGGAAAACAATCCCTGTCATACACATTCGTACTCACCTAGAATTTGTTTTTCAAGACTTTCTATATACACAAGCCGGAAGCACGCTCACTAGATTGTGGGGTTATCAAAATATAATTGCTTTAACGAGTTAACAAGGTATGAATAATCAGCCAGTGACCAGATAGTCAGGCTATAAGTGCCGGGGTTTGCATCTATCACAGTATGCATGCCTGCATCTGTAGGATTATTTTGATTTATAAATGGAAAAGTATTCCATCGGTTGTTTTCACCCGGTGTAGGCCGAATGCGAAGTATGTATGTAGTGTAGACTTGCAGGCAAGCAGGTTGATTATTATTATTTACCTTTAGCCGTTGACCCAACCCGAAAGTCTAAAAATGGGCCCTCACCAAAGTTTGGAAAACAGTTCTTGGATTACATAACTAGGTTAGATCATGTGAATAGCAGGGTGGCGTATCATGTGACCTTGCTTACCTAAGGCCCTCGAGCTGTTCAACTTTCTCCAAAAAGTGCGGCTTCGAATCGGCCCATGCAAATACACAGTCGCGAAGTGTCCCATCCGCCATATCACCTTAATCAATAACGGGGGGGTTGGATGGGCTCAAAACCACCATGGCATTCTACGATTTGAATATTCCGTATAATGAACCCAACGAACCGGGAATTGCTAATACATTGCGACTCTTATCTGAATGTGAGTTCTCCAATGGATCAGATACACAGCTTCAGGAGAATATCAAGCTCATGCGTTTTTTTTAGTGGGATACTCTACCGTAGCCCTTTCGCAATCGATAGCAGGAAAACTGCCTGCGACCGTGTCCCCGTTGCCTCTACCAAGCAATGTCCCCGCGTCTCTCACCGTACTGACTCGATTAAATATCACGCTCTCGGATGCCACACAGAACCAGCGTCTAGCAACGTTAGCACAATCGTTCTCACTTGTTGCTATACGTCCTGTGAATGAGAAGGCGCTGTCGCAGGCTTGTAATAGCCTTGACTGTGATATCATATCTCTTGACCTGTCTACACGACTGCCGTACCATTTTAAATTCAAAACCCTTTCCGCAGCAGTATCACGAGGCGTACGACTTGAAATATGCTATGGACCCGGAGTAACAGGTAGCGGGATGGAAGCGAGAAGAAACTTAATATCTAATGCAGCATCGTTGATCCGTACTGCGCGAGGCAGAGGGATCATTATCTCCAGTGAAGCAAAGCAAGCTCTTGGTGTCCGGGCACCATGGGATATTGTGAATCTTGCGTGTGTCTGGGGGTTGAAATCCGAGAGGGCGAAGGAGGCGGTAAGTGAGGAGGCTAGGAAAGTGGTGGATATGGCTCGGGTAAAGAGAACGAGCTTTCGCGGAACGGTGGATGTGATATACGGAGGGGAGGGGGACGACGCTGGTGCAAAGAAGGTTGATCTGGTCAATAAACCAGGAAAACAGCCAGCCACTGTCTCTCTGAGCGCGTCTGATGGGGGCGGCGTGAAACGAAAAGCGTCCTTGGATGGTCCTGAAGGCCCGAGTAAGCCTTCTGACGAACCGCAACTGTCCAAGCGAGAGATGAAGAGACGGGCGAAAAAGGCCAGGCTAGCGAGCGCCAACTCTTCAGGCGCGTCTCCGGCAGCTTCATGATGGTCTTCATCGATTCGATTCAACCATAACTCCTCCGTATCTTACGATAGTCTGGGCTGCCCATCCCATATCTAGCATAGATTAGCCAGCCTGTGCAAGTGCATCTGCCTCTTCTCTCAGCCAATAACAAGCTCTTCCACGCGTGTGGCCTGTATGATTCGCCATCACCGTAGCACAGTCACAGTATCGGCTCCCCTCCATGGCTGCTCTAGGCCACATATATCATCTCGCCATCCGCCCCCCTCATCCCTCCAACGCAACCCTCTCTTTCTTTGCTTTCATCCCATCTTCTCTCGATATAACATATACACGTGACCGTCTCATGTGACCTGCTGATACTCTATTCTAATTGGCTGTATAGTGCAAAGCTCGGACCCACTCACCTGACCGAAAAGAGTAAAGAGGTCCGTGCGCAGCCTTGCAAAAACTTCGCCTTTTCCTCCTTTTTCTCTCTTTCGCACCTCAATCTCAACATCAACTTCACGACATCGCGTCTTCACCTCTTCAACCCCCCCAGTTTCTCGCCGTCCGCCCTTCTTTCAACCCCTACTTATACTCCTTGTTTCGCGCTTCCAGTGGCAGACGGTGGCGTCACCTTGTGATTCATCTCGGACTTCTTCTCATCTTCCATCTCGACAAATCACGCTTTCACTGTTCTGTTTCCAGGGTATCTTGGAATGCGTGTGAACAAACCAGCAGAAACATAACTTTCCCCCCAGTTAAGGACCATTTTATAATTGTCCGCCTGTCTCATTTCATCTTCTCTACGTGTTTTTCTTTCTTTCTTTCTTTTTTTTTCTTCAGCCCTGTTTGAATGTGTCGATTCGTCGTCACGGACTCGCTGCCCTGAGGAAAACGTACTGGAATTGCCCAGTTGAAAAAAAGACCCTTGAGAGGACAAGAGAAAACATAATATATCTCGCTGCCTAAGCTAGCTCTTTGCCCTGCGGCTACGTAGTTAGCCATGGCAGTGTCTTTGAGCTCGCCTGGGAGCTCAAGTTCTTCCTCTTTCGACCCATATTCTGAAAATGTCACAGATTCAAATTCACAGAATAAATCCCAAGCTGGAACACCCGGACAAGATGACAGTGATGTTGCTGCTTCCAGTTCCACTGTCGTTGCTTCAAGTGCTCATTCCAGCCAGTTTGTTTCACGCGGCCACCGTCTGGAAACCCCCAAGAATGCATCCACTGCTACTGAGATAACTACCTCTGCCACCAACAGTACCCAGTCTCGCCGGAAACGCAAACGCGGTGCAGCTGGTGATCATCCAGCAGGGACCCAGGTTTCAGATGCTCAATACTCATCAGAATATGATAGCCGTCATTTTGGTGTTAAATCCCAGTCAGACTCGCCATCGAGTTTCGTGGATGGCACAAAGCGTGTCAAGTTCAGAGATGATGTGAAGCCGGACTTTTCCGTCGATCCGTCTATGGATACCATACCCGAGGATAAGTCCAAATTACCAAGGGAAATATGGCAGCACATTTTTACTTTTCTTCCGCCTGTTTCACTTGGACGTGTCTTGCAAGTTAACCGCACTTTTAAAGCTCTGCTTACCACTGGTCAGCCCGAGTTGCCCTCTGGCCGTGCAACTCCAGGCTCACTGAAATATGTTAATCCGGTTCACATTTGGTCCATCTCACGAAAATCTTTCCATTCAAGCATGCCACGTCCGTTAAGCCCTTTGTCAGAAATGGATATGTGGAAACTTATCCGCGGAACTTCATGTCAGTTTTGCAACAAAGCCGGGTCTGTTCAATCGCCAGAAACTTCGCCCTTTGAAAGTGGACCGGGGGAGAACGGAGTCAGAATCATTTGGCCTTTAGCCGTTCGTTCATGTGGAGACTGCCTAAAGGCAAATTGTGATACCGTATGTCATACTCGATTATTACTCTCCCTTGTTTACCGTGTGTCGTTTCTTATGCGAATCGAAAAGCTGATTACCTTTATTAGGAAATGGACCTTCTCTTCTCCTCCACTCTGCCTTCAGTTTTGGTTCCTGCTCTCCCCTTTGCATTCTTAACAGCATCGCTGCATTATGTTTCATCTGTTTCTCTTCGTGGAAATCAACCTCCAGTCGGAATGGTCCTTACCAAGCATTTTCTAAAATCCCAAGTTGAGGAGCTAAAATCCAGATTTGAGGAAGTCAAAGCCTTGGGGCCTGCAGCCGCAGAGGAATGGATGAAAGGCCTTGATGGAAATGGCAAAGAAAAGATCGCGGATGCAGCGCGATGGGAGCAATGGGAATTAGCGGGCGGCCTTCGCAGTCTCAAGTCACCCCACCAAGCTCCATCTAATGGTACTAAGACACAGTCTGCAAAACCTGAAACAGCTGACACAGCCTCCGCACGTCTCCCTATCGCAAACCATCGTCCAAGTAATAGCCTCGGTGGCAATGCACCATCCACCAATTTAGGTACGTTATACCCTCTATACACTACCTCATCCCCTTGTTCTGGCCCTCGAGTTTCGGTCTTCTAATGACTTTGATGTTATCAATTCGTGCTGTCTTTATTTACCCAGCTATGCTAGGGCAGTATAGCTGTATTTACATCATTTTTTACTGACAGCATGTCCTTTAGATACTGCTATTACCTCACGGCCTCGCAGCACCGGTGCGCAGCCCGGCTTCCCACTTCCACCAAACTCCCAACTTTCTCGAGAACGCAACCTGCGCCAGATCAACGAGGCAAAAGCCAGTCGTCGAAGTGAAATCGAAAGGCGATGCGCAGAACTTGACCCGCCTCTTGCTCCCGAGGTTATTAATCATATGGAATCGTTCACAGCTGCGATCCAGATCACACATCCATTTACTGATAGAGATTGGGAAATCTTGAAGCCTCGGCTTTTAGCTCAGCGCGAAGTTGCTGAACGTCGTGAAAATGAGCGCAAGCTTCATGACGCACTTCTCCAAGCAAAATCTGATGAGCGGCGTCACCAAGAGGCCCAACTTAAAGAAGCCAAGGAATTACTTGACCGTGAATGGGAGGATGTCCAAAAACCAATCAAAGAACGGATGGCCGGCTATGCCGATGAGATCATCCGTGAGGGTTGGCGTGGTGGTGAAGGGGTCACAAAGGAGAAGTGCCCCAAGTTCGCAGCCGACGTCATTATGTATGTTCGGAAGAGGTTCTTGGAAGATTTAGCCCAAGAAGATGCGCGTGCTCGTGCTGAAGGGAAGCCAATTGAAGAAGATCCTCCAAACGGCCCTCCTCGACGCAAAATCATCTTAGAGAACATGAAGTTCATATTTGACACAAAAATCAAACTACTCACTGAACAGTTCCAAAAGGAGCTGTTCTTGTGTAATGGTTGTGATAATAATGCCAAATATTACGGCTTCGAAGGTGTGATTCAGCATTACGCTGCTAAACACACCAACGTTCTCAGTTTAGGCAGTGTTGTTGTTCATTGGCGAGCAGAATGGCCTGAGCGCCCTCCTTTCAACCCTGACCCTGCCTCTGCAAAGCTGCTTATGTATCCTATGCCGCGTCCGCATGGCGGGCAGCCACATATGGGATACACAAATCCTCAACCATCCCCCGGCCCATATAATAGAACACCATATGGAACACCCTATGCGTATGGGACTGGTCCTTATAGACCACCTTCCCCCCAATACTACCCTCCCCCTCCTGGTTATGGATTCTCTCCTCAACAGCCCTACCCTCCTGGCCCTTACGAACATCAACACGCACCACCAAACCCACCATACGGTTCACCTTTCCCTGGTCAGGCTTATCCACCACCCTATGCCCCGGCTGATCCAGGGAGACACCCAGGACCACCATATCAACCGCCTTACAGTGGGCCAAGCCATCCACCTGGGCCTTACAATCCCGCTTACCCACCTGCTCCACATCATTCACGGCCACCGGCTGGTGCTCACAAGCCTAACCAAGGCAGTCAGTCGTTTGGCCTGTACCAAACACATCTAGATGAAATCGCTAAGAATGCTCGAAGTGTTTGGAATGGCACCTCTGGCATCAAGGATCTTCCCCACAATGTGCGAGCTCACGTTGTAATCCATCATGTTACCACTCGGTTTGTCGATAAGTTCGGACAAGAACCGGCACTCACACTTTTCTCTGATGGATTGAATTCTCATCCTCATATGAAACCAATCAGAAATCTTAGCGGCTTGGTCTGTAAGGCATGTACTGATATGGCGAGCTCGCGCCGTTCTCGTCAACATGATTCCCGCAATGACCGGAAAATGTATCACCTTCCGGCTCTCTTCAGCCATTTTCAGTCCGTTCACGTTGATGCAGCGGCACCTGATGGCACTCAGCCCGATTGGAAGGTACATATGCTATTACTACCCGACAATGCAGTCATATCATCCTTGGGTCAAGCTCCTGGCATGGACCAAGCAAAGTTCCATCTGATTACTTCCGCCTTTCCCTGGGTATTCTCACCAATCACTGCCCCCATTGCACCTGCTCCAGTGAAAGCCGTGATAAAACCAAACATCCATGGAGCTTACGAGGCAAAAACTAGTGAACATACAAAATACCCCGCTGCAAGTCATGGTGGTAAGAAGTCAGCCAACCACCAAGTCCTCGAAGTTGCCGTAGATGACTTCCCAAGGTTCGTTGAATCTCCAGATGATCCAAAGCACTTTGAGCCACCTCGATATGACGAGTACGACCCTCACCGACCAGCATTTATCGAAACCGCAACGGACCCCTACGCTCGTGGTGCCCGTGGAAACGCTGGACCTCGTGAAAAGATTCAAGTGAAACATCGTCAAATTGAAGCTGTTCCCGGAGAGGAAACTGAAATGCAGGCCGACAGTAGGCGTCCTCGTCAACAGCAGCAGAAGCACTCATCTCGGGGAAAAGAACGAGCTGCAAAATCTGGTGGTGCTGATATTGTCCATCCAGCAGCAGGGAGCGGACATTCGCAACCCGGTACAAATCGCCCTAAAAGCCGAAATGTATCAGAAGATGGTGAGGTTGCTGAATCTAACGAAGCTAGGGCTGAGGGAGGACCCTCTCCTACTGAGGAGATGAATGCAGCGGAGCACTTCTTGAATAACTTTGTTCCTGGCCAGGATCAAGGTGACTTCGGAACAACTTCGCGAGGATCCAATCCGCAAACACACGGTGAATCTAGAAGTAAATGGCCCAAAACGGCGGCTGCAGAAGAGCGAGAATGGCGTACCTCAACTAATTCTCATGCCGGTGCCGAAGCTGGTCATACAGCCCAGCCAGGCCGTGGTGGGAAACATAATGGCTGGGCTGGACGTGGAAAGAGCCCTGCTGTCGGACGTGAATACCGTGAATTTGACCCAAGAGGCGAGGCATTCGACATGCATAGCGGCCCCCCTTCAGTTCGTGGGGATGTGCTGACACCTGATCAGACTGAAGCCCGCGGTCGAAGCCGTGTAGCTACTGCTGACGTGAAAGGTGGACCGGAAGCCCGGGGCGGCCGACCTCACAACAGGTTCGAGCGGTATGAAGCCCAGAGGCAAGAATCTCTTCGACCACGTTCAAGATCGCCTCTGCCACAGGAACGGACTGCGGTAGAGTACTACCGTAACCGTAGCCCTCGAGCGAGACAAAGAGCTGCAGCTCTTGCCCCGTCTCATCCACAGGAAGCCTATGTTGAGCGTATCCCCATTGACCATCCTTCCTATGCCAGAGCACCACCACAGGGCCAGTACCGCTACGTTGAAGAGTATATCGAACCTTCTTATGAAGGTGCAGTGGAGTACGTCCCCGTGCGTGTCGCGGCTCGAGAGCCACAAAACGGAGGTCAGTACTACATCGAACGTCCGGTCCATCGCGGTGTTCCTCAAGAATACGTCGACTATGATATGGAATATTCTCGACATCCTGTTATCGAACAACCTCAGCATTATTATCATGGACCAAGCACACGAGATATTCCTGAGGGCCCTCCAGTCGGTTCACGCCGTGCCAGGTATAGGTAACAAGACCTCTACTTGTTGCGTCTCTTTTACCTGGCCCGTCTGCAGTGAGCCTTTTCATTTTTGATGCTTTATGTTTCATTCCATCACTCAGTGTATTAAAGAACGGGACTTGTATCTGTTCTTTTCTTCTTTCTCGAGTGATCGCTTCTCCAGTTCTTTGTCACGGTATAGCATTGCAGAATTGATTCTGCTGCGAACGCCTTGGTGTGCCATGTTTTCTTTTATTTCTTTCTGTTGCTTTTCTTTTCATGCTTTATTACGAGCAACGTATCCTGATTTTCAACCAGTCAATCAGTTTACCTCTTTGCTTAGTATTTTGGATTTTCTTGTACCAATAATCTTGACTCTATTCCCCTTTGCCTCCCCTACACTTTGCGAGACTGCTACTGCCAAACAAAAGTATATTGTTTCGAGAGCACCATGCCGTGGTCGAGAATGGTGGAGATGAGCGCACCGCTCATTTCTACATTTGTCATCCTCTTTGTCAATTGGCGTGGACATATTACCTACGTGCTGGGTCATATGTATGATACCTGGTTCAAGTGGTGCAGATATCTAACAGAATGAAATCTGCCCACGTTGGCCTACTTGGTCTGAGCCTGGTAGTTCCATTCAAGCGCTCTTCCTATCAGCTCAAATTTTGTTTTTCCTCTGCCCTTTTTTTAGTGATGTTATTCCGGCTGCGGTGAAATGATGTTTGTCGTATTATGTTGTTATGTCTCTTTTTCGCTGGCTAAGGCGGTTCCTCATCTGTCACTTACCCCCAGAAATAATATGTATAATTACATTAAACTCGGTTCCCTGGATCCCTATGTTGCCTGACTAGGTAGGCAATATGTCTAGAGATAGCTGGAGCCTGGAGCTTCTGCAGCGTCAGTGATAAACAGAGCTCTTACGGCAGTTGAAAGCAGGAAACGCCTGCTTGCTTGGCCTGTCTTGCTATGATTCAAGGCAACATGCCTGCGTAAATAATAATATACTTTATGTATGTTGCTCTGTTCCTGGTCCACTTCTGCCGGCCATTTGCAATCAGGATTGTATACCATCCCATTGAGCGCCAGTTCAAATAAACAGGAGATGCATCAATTTGATCGCTGAGAGGTATATCTGCTACTGGTTGGGTATATTTGTTATTTAGGGAGCTATCGGAAATATTAAATACTTAAGGTAAATATAACATAATACTTCTAATACCTTTGTTGTTCTGATTCCTGGCATGTTCCTTTTCCTATATTGTTATCTCGCTGAATAACGGTATACAGCAGTAACTGGTCCCAATAGAACATGGTTTGTTATGTAGACCTCGACGAATAAATGTTATGATATCGGAATGGCTGCATATCCAGGGTGAACTTATTTACACTCACGGATTGAATATAAAAAGCGGGCAAATAATAACTTGATCATTGCGCTTGGAACATGTCTATATTACCCTCACTATACTCTATACATTATTATAATATGGGCCAACAAACATCGATAATCGCTAGTCGGATTTCTGGTGTCCCATTGTACCTAGAACCCTTCTTGCCCAATTAAACAGAACCACGCAACGCCCAAGAAGGTGGCCGAATGCCAATGGCACGCCAAACTTATACCAGGTAAGAGGCTGTAGCAGCTCCACCTTCGGCACTGGCATCATAGCATGACACTCATCTAGTGAAGGCAGATTCCCAACAGGATTCCCAGTAAATTGTCCAATAGCTTCAAGTATAAGCCTGGCGGTATCTTTAGGATGGCTTAAAAACGGTGAATGGCTGGCCCGTAGTTCCCTACACTCCACGCTCGCACCCATATTCCTAGCCATACCAGCCTGCATCCGCTGAATGAAAAGCGGCAAGCCCCTATCCTCCGCTGTGCCAATATACCAGCACGGTATATCCAACCAACCAGAATAGGAATGTTCACCGCCTTCAAACAACGCTTTGAGGCTCTGGGGTTGAAGCTGAGAACACCAGTATTCTGCTTCGTCTGCTGGTACATCGTGATAGAATGCTTCACGCGGCGAGGCGACAAGTTCGGCGAACCCGGTTTCCTTGTTGACGCGCCATAACGGCGGTGGGCGTCCAAGGAAGGGATCCATGAACGCGAGGCTGGTGAAAGTGAAGCCGGAAGCAATCAGAATGAGGCCGATGATGTATCCTGGCCCCGAAGGTTGCTGATCCTGATCTGTTGGGCTGTCTTGTGGTCGAGTGAACCCCTTAATGGCACTATTTCCTACCATGCCGCCGTAGGAGTGTGCAAGGACCACAACATTATGGCCCTGGGTAGTTTCTTCTGATATAGCTGTTCTTGCAGCATCAAGGTCATCTTTGAAGGTAGCTTCAGGGCTCCCTTGGGTTGATGGAAGAGTCACTAGGACACATTTGAAATTTCTCTCTGAGAGAATGCTGGTAATCTTTTCAAAACATGTGGGTTTGTGCCAGGCACCAGGTATAAAAACGAGCGTTGGCAGGTTAGACATCCCGATGACGTGGATATCGATGCCAAAGATTCAGATTTATATATCCTTTGTTATTATAATTGGCAGAGATATCCGTTCGATCAACATGCATGTGGTTCGGATCCATAAACTTTGGGACGTTTCAAAATAAGGAGAGCAGGCTGAGTAAGCAGCGTTCTAAGAATAGTGGTGACATAATCATATAGGGCTGTTCACGTGAACGGCCCGACCACCAGGTACAAGGGTGATGACATCGAAGTCAAAGAGTAGATCAACAGGGAAATCATCAAAAAGGAATCCAACTTTCTATTAAATAGAGATATATGCTGTCTAAAACAACCAAACTAAGGAGGCGCCATCAAGTCGTGAATTAAAAATGAGGTCAGAAAAACGATGATAACCCGTCCCAAACCCTGTGAATAAGACGAGAAGAAGGCAAGGAAAAAAAATGTGCAGAAGCCGGATCAAAGGCAAAGGGGAATCGAGCCAAGGAAAAGCAAGGTAGGCAAGGCAGCAATAACAAAGCGGGGGTTGAAAATGCAGTAGACAATATTATCCAACTCGCTGAACGGGGAAAAGGGTCACACAAAGATGACTGGGACCAAGGCAGGAAAAGGCTGATATGGGACGCCCCTCTATGTCGCAGAACACTAAGAAAGAAGTTAAGAACTGGGGACTGACCCGGTGAACTGTGGAGGCTGTACTGGGCTCATCTCCAAGCAGGGATATGTGTGAGTGTGGATGTATGTATAAGCCGCAAAAAGCATGTCACGCGATAGAAGCGACGAGGCAAGCGCGGAAGAGGGATAAAGATGCTGGCCCAGTGAAGACAACTGGTTGAGGGTACGGGGGGAAAAAAGAACGAAAGGAAAAAGAAAGCAAAGGGAGCAGGGCAGTCCGTCCAGTGATAGGTACCAACTGAGTCAAAAAAATAAATAATCCGAGTTCCGAAAGTTAAATGAAGGGAACCAAGGGTGAACTCCGCTCAAGCCAAAAATGAAACAAAACATTCTCTGACGCAAGGGAATGAGGGAAATGAGACAGTGTTCAGATGTGGAGGCGCAGTAGTTAGACAGCCCAGCTGCCTCTTCGCTCGGGAACGCCCCAAGAGTCGACTCCTCTGTCAGCCCCGGAGCGAGGCTGTTGCCTCGCCCATTCATGGATATACAGCTTCAAGGCATTCCAGCGCACGCACCCAGGCGTGGTGGTAGTGGTTGTGGTGGTGGTTGTGGTATTGCAAGCACCGGTTCGACAATCCGGTAGGTCGATGTAGCCCTTCGCGTTGGCGTGTTGGTCATCGCTCTGGAGTGTTTCGATAGGGATATTTGTGATTTTACTTAGCTCCGCATCAAAATCGCGCGCTAAGCATGGGTACCCCAGTGATAGATAGTTGTATATTTGGGTAACAAAACTATCGTTGAACTCGGCTTCGATTTCACGCTCAAGGTCGGGATCGCATGTTTGAATGAGAATAGCGGGAGAAGGTGATGAGGAGTCGGGAATAGTGGTGAGCGTGACAAGATCGGGAGAGATTTCTTTAGAGGGCTGGATGAGAGAGCCCAAAGGCGTAGGAGTTGGAGTAGGCGGCAGAACAGGGTCCATTCGCTCCGGAGCAGGCGTCACAAGGCCAGACTTTTGTGGTGATGAGTTTTGTGAGGAACGATCGCAGCTTGTCTGGCCGCCCGACTTTCTCTTGCAAGTACCGTTCCAGAGTCCGACTTGACCGCAGTCCGACATGTTTGTATCTGCCGACCATAGTCCACCGGCATTGCAGTTACCCGCAGGTTTCTTGTTTTGGCTCGTGGCCGGCGTAGGAAGCTGGTCGGCTCCTACCAGTGTTGACTTGGGAGACTGGCATCGAGTGAAAACGATGTCGTCTCCCAGCATCGGGGGGCTCGCGGCTTCACGCATAGGCGCAAGGTTTGCCCCCTTCTGCCAGCCGCCAATAATATCGTAACCACCCGTTTCAAGGCCTTCCCATTCCTCCTTATATCGTGCGGCAAGCGCAGCCGCGGAGAACTTGGATGTATGATTAGCTGCAAAGAGGCGTTCCCGAGACCTCATCTCCGACTCCTCCTTGTGCCGTCGCATCTCCTCCAGCTCCCAGGCGAGGTCAGCGGTGGACTCTCGTCGGAACCTGGACAGGTCAATCGACAGCTGTCTAAAGGCGGTCTCCATGCTGTCGTCATCGTCTTCGGAGTTGCTGTCCTCCCGATCGATGGCAAAGTGGGAGACGGGCTGGTATACCTGCTCGTTGGGGAAGGCAGCGAGAGCCTGGTCCTTCAGCTTCTCGGAGACTAAACGAGAGTGGAGGTTGTACATGTGATTGTCCGGATAGGAGCCGGTGTAGGAGTCGGGGTAGTGAACATGCACATTCTGATGGCTGCCTTCGTTGGAGAAATTGGTAGGGGAGGTCGAGAGCGATGAGGTTGGTGACTCGCCGGAGTTTTCACTGCTGGTGGAGGGGATGGCGGGGAGGTTAGGAACCTGGAACGACTGTCGTCTGCTCCCATGGCGCCGAGATAAGCTTGCATAGGAATACTTCGACTCCGAATCT